ATTTTTTTTATTTTTTCCTGGATATTGCTATAGAATTTTTTGCAGTCTTGCCTCATTAATATTCATGACATTGCCTTGGGCTTCATAAGATTCTACATTACCCGTCTCAAACCAAATAACAAAGATATATTTAATAGTAGTTAAGATGTATCTTAATCTTCTTAAATCCTCAATAGACAGAAAAAACGTACACTATGCCCTCAGTTTCAGACTGACACACGGGTCCCATTTTAACTGAATGTGACGTACTGAGCGCCTCTTGTTTATGACCGGACATGACCACGCATGCGCAGTTCAGAGACTTCCGGAGCAGGAACTATATGGAAGGAGTAACGAATTACTGTTTATGCTTTAATTCTGAGTTTAATTTGATGTGGATGGGTGGTGGAATTGCCACCGAGAAAGTTTGGTAATAAGGACTACATGAAGAATATTGGTTGTCAAACGGGCTGGAGAGTTTGCTGAAGAGTTATTTAATATCTGATGCAATATGGCAACAACACACGGTGCTGTCATACGGATAATCACATGCCTCCAGGAGAGCGGACGTCATGTAAAGTTGTCGCCTTTGGGACTTGTACGATATTTATCCAACACATGTTCAGAGAAACAAGCTAGAGGAAACACGGCCATGGTTAGAGCTCCAGTGTCTGGAAGTGGAGGTGGAAGTGGAGGTGGAAATGGAAGTGGTGGAGGAAGAGGCTCAGCTCGGACATGTCTCCTCCGAGCCGCGGCGGTGGGACTGGGGCTGAGCGGAGCTGCTTTACACAGTGTTAAAGACGAGCGGGATGAAGACGGCTCTCAGAGGACACGACCTCTCACCAACACTGTACTGCACTACCTTATACCTACAGCCTACTGTGCTTCTCCATACAAAGGCGACAGTCCGCGGTATAAGTACAACTTCATTGCGGATGTAGTGGAGAAGTCAGCGCCTGCTGTAGTTTACATTGAGATATTAGGACGGTGAGTTTACCTCCAGACAGCATTAATGAAGCTACAGTGTAGTAAAGTTACCTCAGTACTCCACAGTGTGGGTAGCAGGTAGAGCAAACTGCCCACTCCTCTGAACATAGGATCATTTTCACTTACTGTCATGTGGACATAATTAGTGTTTACTAAATCATTAGATTATCTACACTATATGGGCAAAGGTTTGTGGACACCTGACCATCATGCCCTGTGGGTCTTTCCCAAACTGTTGCCACAAACCTGGAAGCACACAATTGTATAGGATGTCTTTGTAGATTTGATGTTTCCCTTCACTGGAACTAAGAGGCCCAAACCTGTTCCAGCATGACAAAGCCCCTGTGCACAAAGTGAGGACATGGTGTGCCAAGGTTGGAGTGGAAGAACTCGAGTGGCCTGCACAGAGCCCTGACCTCAACCCCACTGAACACGTTTGGAATGAACAGGAACGCCACATGCCTTCCCCCCCCCATCAGTGCCTGAGCTCACTAATGCTCTCGTGGCTGAATGAGCACAAATCCCCACAGTCATGCTTCATAATCTAGTGGAACGCCTTCCCAGAAGTGTGGAAGCTATTATAACAAGAAGCACACATGACTGTGATGGTTAGACACACTCCACAAACTTTTCTCCATATAGTGTATATGCTAATAGATTTATAAAATGTTCTTAAACTTAAGAGAACCTAGTTTCAGAGTATTAATAACCCAGTAGTGTACAACACCAAGCATAGGCATATGGTAAAATTATAACATTATGAGACTGAGCTTAAAAAGAATAAAAATGACAAAAGCACCAAATTTTTATTATAGTTAATAAATTAACTCTAATAAAGTTACCTCAGTGTAACCTAGTACCTTCTATAATATTTCATAGTACTCCTATAGGAATACTTTGCAATGTCATCATATATATATATATATATCCCAATAAACAAAATGTCTTTTTGGTATTAATTACAGTTCTTTGTCTTATCATTTTGTCCTAGACATACGTAAACATTTGCACTCGATTGAATAATTTCATTGAATTATGTGTGTAAGTGTTTAAAAAAGCTGTGTTTACGTCAGTGAGAATTTATAGATTTTCTTTTAATAAGATTAAATAGCCTTGCAGTCTCAGCTCAGCACTGTGAGCACACAGTGGTTGCCTCAGCAATGCTGTCTCACCTTGTTTATAAACATTATGCTCACTACACAATATAATTATTGTATCTGAAATATTAGTTTGAATAACCAACTGTACTTAGAAGAATTCTGTAGACTAAGATATTATGGGCATCATTTCTTAACAGGCATCCATTCTCTGGCCGTGAGATCCCTATCTCTAATGGTTCTGGCTTCATCATCAGTGCTGATGGCCTCATAGTGACCAATGCCCATGTAGTAGCCAACAAGCGTGGGGTTCGTGTCAAACTGGCCAACGGAGAGACGTACAATGCCACTGTACAAGATGTGGACCAGGCTGCAGACATTGCAACAATTAAAATCAATGCCAAGGTAACACTGATGATACTGTGACTGTTACTGATGATACACAGGAATAGAGATCATGTGTGCTTGGTTACAGCTCATGCTTTTCTATATTTATTAATCCTCATTGGCTTTGTCATTGATATTTGGTTCTTCTGGGGTTGTTTTCAGCATCCCTTGCCTACGTTGCGTCTTGGGCAGTCATTAGATATACGTCAGGGGGAGTTTGTGGTTGCCATGGGGAGCCCCTTCGCTCTGAGGAACACCATCACATCTGGAATAGTTAGTTCAGCTCAAAGAGGCAGCAAAGAACTGGGCCTGTCTAATGGCAACATGGACTACATACAGACTGATGCTGCCATAGATGTGAGCATGCACCAAATTGTCCACTTTAGATTACGTGTTTGTATCAAACTCAAAATGTGTAAAAGCAAACTGGTGAAAGCTTCTGATTTATCTTCTACTGCCTTGTTCCTTTACAGTTTGGGAATTCAGGTGGTCCACTTATTAATTTGGTGAGTTCTTTTTTTTTTGCTATGGAAAAAAAGACCTACCATAAACAATATACAAACACACAGTCTGTAAATTTGTAACAGGAATTAAAGCACTGTATCGCAAACTCATTATTCAAACTATTTTTACTCTCAGGATGGTGACGTCATTGGTATTAATACCATGAAGGTGACTGCTGGGATTTCCTTTGCAATTCCCTCTGACAGACTTCGTCTTTTCCTTGAGCGTGCTGCTGATAAAAAGAGTAATATGGATCACTGTCCTTATTTTATTCCATCATTCGTGATGCTGCTTCTGGAGCTCTCATTGCTCTCATGTTGTTTACAGGTTCCTGGTTCGGTGGGTCTGAAAGCAAACGGCGCTACATAGGAGTGATGATGTTAACACTCACACCCAGGTACGTGACCCATCAGTGCTCATGTAGAAATACAAACGCACTAACTAAATAATACACAACTTATCAGAGCTGCAATCATTCTTGATGTCTTATTACCCTTTAGTATAATTGCTGAGTTGAAGATGCGTGATCCCTCGTTCCCTGATGTAGCACATGGAATCCTCATCCATCGTGTCATCACTGGCTCTCCAGCCAACAGGTCAGCAGATTAAAATAGTGTCATTGATTACATACTGCTTCCAAATTTGACATACAGTGTCAAATTCATTACTGTTTGTAAACACTCACAACATTTAGTGGCTTATCTGAGTAAAGTTTACTCTCATTTTCCCCTCATTAAACATCGTGCTTTTTCATTTATTTTGTTCAGTACGGTTTGACAGCACACTACTCAGAAATAAAAATAACCATTGCAAATTGCCATTGCTGCCATTATACATGACTGAGTGATAATATATGTATATATTTTAGACTTTAGTCCATAATCAGTATAGTACAACCCCTGGTAAAAATTATGGAATCACCACACTTAGAGGATATTCATCCAGCTTTTTTACTTTAAAGCAATCAAAAAAATTCACTGACATTTTTTTTATTAATGGCATGTCATTTTCCAAATCAAGTAGAGGAAAAAAGTATGGAATCACTCAATGTTGAGGAAAAAATTATGGAAACTTATTTTCTTTGGATGGAATGAGAAAAGTGTCCAAAATTTCAATGTACACCTGTGCATTGACTGCTGAGGTAATGATTGCCATCTCCCCTGGTCCTTTACTTGACATGCAACCCCATATCATAAAGGAGTTGGGAAATTTGATTGTTTTCTTCAGGCAGTCATCTTCATAT